ATTGACACAGCCCAGAACAAGCAAGTCGAGAGCTCTCGAACGACCCCTGGCCGATCCAAATCGAGTGCAGAGAAGCGGAGATCGAAGCGAAAACAAGAAGGCGGATCTTCCAAGTCAGAGCTCCCGCGGCGAAAGGACTGGCTCGTCTCTAACATTCGTACCTGTGTTGCGTTGTGGGACGGAAATCTAGTCGATATTCGATGGCGCGCGCGAGACCCTAATGTGCCCATTTTCGGTGTGCAATAAACGTCTACCCCCCTGTCTTGTCGTTCTCACTACACTGGGTCACGCTCCTGTGAGGCCTTCTGCAAGGTGTGGCCTCTAAACTGCTAAGCGCTCACCGGCTAGTGACGCAGGTGGATAATCTTATACTTAGCTATGTTCAACTGAAGCAGGTTCCTAGTTCACCATTCCTAAATGCAATCTAGGTCATGTTGGAGTAGACCGTGATCTTCATTGTTACTATTCCTCCGCCAAATTTTGACGTCATCGACGAAAAGCAGGAAATTCGAGGAGACAGCTCTTGCAAAGTCGTTGGTAAACACCTGGAATAAGCGCGGTCCCAGCACTGAGCCCTGTGGGACACCAGATTCCACCTCAATCGGGTTAGAGAATGATCCCATAACACGCACTTGAAGCTTCGGTTGGTGATGAAGATTGTTAATCCAACCAAAAACGGGATCTCCAATTCCATAGCTCTTTAGCCGGTGAAGTAAGGATGCGGTGATCCAGGCGATCGAAAGTTTTGGAGAAGTCCAGTTCGATGACGTCAAAGCTAACCCCATCACCAGGCAGTTACGTCCAACTATCTCGCGCAATCAACAGGTTGATGTTGCATGACCGGTGTTCACGGAAGTCATGCTGCTCCGGTGCCAAGTTGTTGCATTTTTCTAGATGGTCCAGTAGAGCCTCAGCGACGACCGCTTCCATCAACTTCGCGAGCAAAGGGAGGAGAGTCACCGGGCGATAGTTGGCAGGCTCTGAACGGCTGCCACCATTAAAAATGTGCACTGATAATGCCAAGCTTCGACATAGTGGGGAGCTTCTGTTCATTGAAGTACCTTTGGAAGAACTGTGACAGTGGTTCAGCTAGCTTGGTGGTTGCAGTCTTCAGTGCTTTCGAGGGGATGTTGTCTGCTCCCGGAGAACTATGATCGCGCAGTGAGAGTAACTACCCAAGCCAAATTGACGGGTAGGAAATTATGTGTGAAACAATGGAGTCGGTAATGTGCATGACATTATGCGATAGGTAGTGAATGCGAGTTCAAAACTGGGACGTATTGTAGCCGCAGAGCATAAGCTGCTTCTTCGGCGTTTTGTACTCTACCGCCTGTCGTGCAAAGTGGAGGGATTCCAAGCTTCACTTTACGAAGATTGTTGACACGCCTATACAGTAATTTGTTGTTTGCCAGGAATTTTTCAGCTAGGCACTGTTGATAAGTTACTTTGTCCTCATGGACAATTGCAGTGCAATGATTGCGATGGGTCAGGA